GTATGTGTAAACCTAAGAGGGATAAAATCCAGAGAGCTCAATGTAAATCCAGAGCAAATAATTTAAATAAAAACAGACCACTTTAAGGTTCCATGTAATAAATTATTTCACCACAGCCCTTTTAAAAGGATTGCGGATCATCAGACTTTACTCCCAAAGGTTGATAACAAAATATGAAAAGAAATTTACACATTTTTGACGGGCCGTATTAAACATATGTAAATTAACGAAGTGAGGAAGTGAGGGGGGAGAGAGAAGACATGAGTGAGTTAGCAGACATTGACACATTTAAACGGTTACCTTAACGGACATTATATATTGATATCGAAGGGGTAGAGGAGAAAAACACAATATATATATATATATATATATATATATATATATATATATATATATATATATAATAATACACTAGATATTTAAATATTTCTCATTATGCCTAAAATGTTATAAGAATCTGTCTATATTCCTGTGTCTTTTAGAATCCCATGTCCTAAATTGATATAAGATTATGTTTCCTCTTTTGTATTCTTCTTTCGATGTTTTGATACAGTTGTTTTGAAAGATTAAAATGAAACATTTATTTTGTTTTATTTCCTGTGATGTTTAGAATTAAATAAAGATTTGCCATATTTGTTTAATTTAGCATTTTTTTAATTCCTCCAAAATAAACAGGGAAGAGGCACACAGACAACCCTACCTGACACACTCACACATAAATTTGTATGTATTTCAGTCTTTTGATCGCCTCTCGATTCTCTTGTTTATCTTTCTCTACCTTTATCTCATTTACTCTCTCTCTATCTATCTGTTTATATATATATATATATATATATATATATATATATATATATATATATATATATATATATATATATTATAATTATTCTTTTGATTCCTTCGCTACATAAGAGTTCTCATGTTTTTAAAAACAGGAAAAAAAACGTCAATATAATTATTAAAATTAAATTGAATTAAAGTATCAAGCTCTGTTTCATCCCCAAGATAGTATCTTGAAGATGAAACAGAGGTTGATACCTTTTAATTCAATTTAATTTTAATAATTATATTGACGTTTTTTACCCTGTTTTTGAAACATGAGAACTCTTATGTAGCGAAGGAATCATATTTTTTTAAAAAAATAATTTAGACTTTACTTTTGTATTGAGTAAATTTAAAAATAAAAACGAAAATACTAAAGAACTTCGGATTATTTACCTAACGTGTTCTTTCCTATTTTTCTATATATTTTCACGCACACACACAAGAAACCCCCCCACACACACACATATATATATGTGTGTATTTAGGCAGCAAACCCTCTTTTATATATGTTTCGTTAAGAAGACTGACAAGTTACTTCCATTAAGCATTTTATTTAATTTTTTCCTGTGTTTGTACAAGCGTTTTATTTTCTAAACACAAAATGTGTAAAAACTGTTCAAAAGTACTGCATGTCCGTCCGCTTCTGTCTGTTCTTTTAGCCATTATCACAGATGATTCCTTTTTTTAATTTTAACTGGGTTGGGTTATGTATGTATAAACGTAATTTTGGACAAAGCCGATTAAAAAATTACAACACATCATCGATGATCGATCTAAATTCACCAAATTAAACAGAAACCCAACGGAGACCCTAAAAAGTTCCGTTAACAAACTGATGACATATAATAACTCCGACGTTGGTTCTCTGAAAATAAAAAAAAAATCATCTGTGACTACAAACCCGTATCCCTATACGGAAGGATAATTCACAAAACCGTATACCCACTACGATCAATCATTACCTTGATCCCAACCCCTATCTACGAACTATTAAAATTCCTTAACGACATCATTACCCCATACCTACCCACCAATTACATCTCCATATCAACCCTCGAATTCCTTCAAATTCTAAATTATATAAAACCAACCCAAGGTATTTTAGCGTCATTCGACGTTGAAAATTTATTCACAAAAGTTCCAGTTGATCAAACTATTGGCATAGTCCTTAACTCCGTGTACACAAATAATTCCATTTCAACTCTATTCATCTTCAAAATATTATTACATGCCTACACAAAGTTTCCTACTACATCTATATCGACACCCAAACTAATAATGTTAGTATGAGAAATCCGCTCCAATTGCTATATGCTCCACATAGAAAACAGGTTTTGATAAGTCACTAAACCCAAAATATATGTCCGCCACGTAGGCGATGTTTTTATTTTAGAGAAAAACAAACAAGAAATAGATAATCTCAAAACCACATTTGAAAAGAAACTATCTTTAACTTTACCGTTAACAATGGTTTTCCTAACGACCTCATCGACCACCAGATTAGTCTATTGCTTTCTAAAGTAACTAATAACGATACTGAACAATAAATACAATAACATTAATGTCTTCTACAAAAGTCAAATGAACGTCAGTTATAAAAACGATGAATTTTCACTTAGAAATATCATAAAGAAATACACGACCCCAGTCGACCCGAACAAGAAGATTAAATTAATTATCTATTACAAAAAAATTAAAACTGCTAACCTTATCATAAAAAGTAACAACACACCTGTAAAATGAAAACTAGAAAGAACCAATTTTCTTTACGAGTTCAAATGTCCGTAAAGGAAATGTGTTCCTGATGAAACCAAACTCATAAATAATTATATTGGTCACACTACTACATGCCTATTCAGACGACTTACGTTACACTTCCCCGACTATAGCCCCATTAGAACTCTTTTACAAGCACACACAAAAACCTACCAGACTCCATCTGAAACATACTAATAGAAAATACAAGAATAATAAAATCTTCCTCATATAAAAAAGATAAAATATAACGGAAGCCCTAATAATAAAACAGAAAAACAAACACTCAATATCATTATCTATGAACATGGCCAAAATATACCGAGCGGGTTTGTAAAATAAACATCACTATACCTCTAGATACAGACATAACACAACACATACAAACAAAAGTAAAGATAAAATCATCCTTGATAATAGCTTTGTGTCTAGAAAACAAAATAATTGTACAAACACAAAAAAAAATTAAATAAAAACCTTAATCACAGTACCGTGTCAGCCGTCTTTAACGATATATATATATATATATATATATATATATATATATATATATACTCACACCTCACTCACACATACATATGTATATATATATATATATATATATATATATATATATATATATATATATATATATATATATATAAATTCTATATATATTCTATATATGTGCGATGTTTATTGGAAAGCGTTCAATATCAGTGATAAAGCTAACATATTTAGTTGAATTTGAACGGATATGAGATCGTACAAACTAATATCCATTCAACTTATATATATATATATATATATATATATATATATATATATGTGTGTGTGTGTGTGTGTGTGTGTGTGTGTGTGTGTGTGTATATAAGTTATACTAGATTTATGAGTAAAAATGATCAGTGTCAGCGATAATAAAATAAAAGTAGACAATGAAGTACACACACACACACACACACATATATATATATATATTTGATGATTGGGTGTTGCGGTTGTGCGGATGGTGTTATGGGTGGCATATCGAATTCTAGTCGATCTTGCTACGTTCACTTCTACACATATCCACTTGAGATATCTATCCCTCCATCTCACCGTTGTCAGGGTTAAAATTGTAAGGAAGGCTGGGTTAATTGGCAACACATGTTTGCTTAGTCTCGCTGTTCGGTTCAAGGAACTGAGCTGCTCGTCTGCTATACGTCAAAGACGACGGGAGAGTCCATTATATAATAATAATAATAATAATAATAAAGTTAATGGCCAGAGTTGAGTTAGACCAAGGAACAGCAGTATTAAAAAAATCACTCAATACACATTTAAAAAGATTAAAATACAACACGAAGAGCTTTTAAGGATAGAAAATGAGGAAATCAGCCGATTCCGCTACTTTGGTTTCAACCTTTTCGTATCTTCAGGTGATTTCAGTCAATTGATTTTCTAGCACTTTATTTTTTAAAGATAAAAAGTTTATGAACGTTATATTTAAAACAAAAAAATGCTTAAGTGCACGACGTGAGGTGAAGTAGATGGTGAGGGGGAGGAAGAGGGGAAAATTAAGTGTATTGGAAATATATCGGTGAGGGATCAAATGATATCTACATACGTTCTTTTCATCCCACTTCATATGAACTTAAAAAGAACTTTTTAGTTTGTATAATTTCCGAGACTGGAATATATATATATATATATATATATATATATATATATAATACGTGTTGTGGTGATATATACATATATATATATATATATATATATATATATATGTATACACATAGTTGTATATTTAGGCAGCAATCCTTCCTTTATGCATGTTTCATTAAAAACGACAGACAAGGTACTACGGTTAAGCTTTTTATATAATTTTTCTTGTGTTCTGACAAGAGCTTTCTTTTCTGGACAAAGGGTGTGTAAGAACTGTCCGAATGTTATGCCTTTAGCCATTATCAAGGATGATTCGATTTTCAGCTTAATTGAATGTGTGCGTTCTGTGTATGTATCAGTGTGTGGTAGGGATGTTTTTAATTTCCGAATACGGTTAGCACATTGTGGCTTTGTTCGTAGTTAATATTTTTAAGCTGAAAATTGAATCATCCTTGATAATGGCTAAAGGTATATCCGAAAGCGCTCGGGAATATAAAACATTTGGACAGTTCTTACACACCTTTATCCAGAAAAGAAAGCTCTTGTCAGAACACAAGAAAAATTTAAATAAAAGCTTAACCGTAGTACCTTGTCTGTTGTTTTTAATGAAACATGCATATATATATATATATATATATATATATATATATATATATATATATATATATATATATAATACGTGTTGTGGTGATATATATATATATATATATATATATATATATATATATATATATATATATATATATATATATATATGTATATATATACATATATATATATATAGAGAAAAAACAGACAGACAAACAGACAATGGAAGAGAAGTCAACAGACTTAAATAGATACAAAGAGATAGGTATGAACAGAGTGGTATAGATAGATAGATAGATAGATAGATAGAAATGAACAGCCTTAGATAGATAGATAGATAGATAGATAGATAGATAGATAGATAGATAGATAAAGAGAGGAAGAACGAGAGGGATAATAGGTCATGTGTAAAAACTAATATTCAATTTTTCATGTGTCCGTTCTTAATGTAATTAGCTGCTTCAGTAAATACAATTTATTAGCGATGAATAATAGTTGACTTCCAACTCAGTTGCTGTGATTACCACTTCTCCCCCAACCAAGATTCTATTTACTGTCACAGAACAAATGGCATCATTAAAACACGTCCTAAAATACAATGCTTCATAAAACCTGATGCCGAGAATCTGTTTTGCTTCCGTCTTCCTCCTTTTACGTTAGGAAGTATTTAACGCATTTGTTTGTCTTGCCATGAGACACCTTGTTGTGTCCGATGTTTTCTCTCCAAATTCAATTTGGCATCTTTTATCTCCTAGCTTTCTCTCTCGTTAGATTACTTACTTTTCTTACATCGACCAACCTTTTCTTTTTGGCTATTATCCCCCCGCCTTTATCTTCTTTTTCCTCTTTATTTTATTTTTTTCCCCCGAAATCAACCTTACGTTATTCATTCTTGTCTTTCTCCTTCCCGAAATTCCAATCTTTACTTACATAATCCCGTGTTTGTCAATCAACAGAAAGCATTCGCCTTTTTAAACAATTTAGTGATGAGACGCTAATTTACGTAATGGCACGCCCACTCCCGGTTTTAACTCGTTGGTAATTTGAACAGGAAGGAAGAAAATTTGATTGAATTTTAATTAGACACGAACCTAGACAGACGCGCAAGCTGACATATAAGCACAATTCTTTCTCAGTTTACCTTCGTCACGGATTTTTATTTCCAGGAAATGAAGTCGTCTTTTAATGAAACCACCTTTCAGTTGCTGAAGTGCAAGCATTTGGCATCCTTCCAATTTAGATCACGTAGCTTCTTTATTCATGTTCTGACATCTCGCCAATTTGGAAGGCCAGACAAACATTGTGACACCCGAAAAAGAGAACACTAATCACTATCCTAGTCGCAAAGTCCAGTTACTTTAAAAAAACAAAAAAAAAAACAATTTTATTTGGATTCTGTCCAATTTTTTAATGGCAGCAAGAAAGTTATTCCTGCCATTCACCTGGATATATTCTGGCATCTCGGCTTCAGTCATTTTCCTATCGCCGTAATGTCTCTTCTCTATGACTTTCATGGTAATTGTTCTGGTGAACTTTTCTCTGTGTTACGTAGACTATGAATTTAAGTACAGTACTAGATTGGCAGGTAGGTCTTATCATTTTACAGTTGAATTGACGAGATGTAACCCTAAATTCTGGGCTAAGTTTCTTCCGATGCACTTCTCGCCTGTGGAACTCTCCGTTTTTTTTTTTTTTTGCTTTCCAGTCAACTGTGATCGTCAAAATTTTAATCGTTAATGTCAATCGTTATCTTCTGTCTCCTTTATAAGGTTTTCTTTTCTATTATTTTTTCACACAGCGTCTTAGTAGCTTTTTTGCCTTGCTTGGGTTGAAAGGATTTTTAAAAAATGTATATGTAGGGAGGGCAATGTATTTTAATTTCCGAACACGGTCAGCAGGTTTCGGCCATGATCATAATTGATATTATCGAGAGATGTCTTCCATCCATCAAACCTAATATTTTCATTAAATTACACAATAAAAGTGTTTTCTACTAGTTATATAATGGCCATATTTATATACAATCTAATGGTGTGAGCATGGAAAATAAACTCGGATCATGTTTCTCTTAGACCTACATGCTAACTGAATATAAGCTGCCTTTACTGGAATTTGAACCCGCTAGTCTGATTCTGAATTGCATCTTGATAACTCTATTATTACTTGGCAGTACTACTTTCATGCAAATACTATTAACGCTTAAGCGATGGGAATCAAATGATGTTTCATTGGAGATCATTTGCTATCGTAAGTTGATGATGAAAGCTTTTTCTAACGATTTGGGCAACTTTCATAATTAGAGTCTGAAAAGCCTGAGTAGCAATTCTAAGAATTATGAGCTTACTATTTACTGAAAAATTGTGACAACTTGGTGGGAAAAAATACACGACTCCATTGTGCATGGAAAATTTCAAAGAGTATGATACAATAAGAAAATAGTCAATTTAGTAAAATCACATCATTTGCTGTTGTGCTTGCCTGCAAATAAACCGGGAAGAATAAGCCAAAGATGATACTACACTGGCATGCAGACTTCTCGAAGAGGTAAGAGGTTAAAGAATGCGCATCATTGTACATCGAATTTTGGCACTTCAACTTGGTGTAATAGTTTGAAAGATTGTCTCTCTAGATCAATCACGACTGAGTAGTGAGTTCGATTTTCACAGGGTGCTCCATACTTTCGACTTTGTGCCACATCTAAGCCTCGCTTTGAAAATCATTGCACATAGAATTTAATTTTTAATTTTTTCACCTAAAATTATTTTCCCCTTTTTTATTTTTATAGTCTAAAATGGTTAAAATATCGTTTTTATAAGTTTTGTATATAATTTACTCAACATCCCCGCCACGAGGTCGGGTTGTGACACAAGGCCGGTTTAATGTGAGGAGCCCGAGCTCGTACAACCGGACAAGGAACAAAAATTGCCGGAGCCCCCACAACCCTCGGTTGCTCTAGCCTCGGAGCGAGAATCCCTCTCTCTCTCTCTCTCTCTGGTGCAATGAGACAGCGAGGCCTTGGGCAACTGTTCCCTAGGGCTGGGCAACTGTTTCCCAGGGCTGGGCAACTGTTCCCCAGGGCTGGGCAACTCTCAGTATATTTTTCTTCAGTTGCGTCTATTTGACGGAGCCGCCCCTGAGCGCACTCTGCTCAAAGACAGATAAGCAGCTGAGAGATGATAAATAATGTGTTACAAACTATGCGAGAGTCCAATAAGAGCTACAAATGATAGGAAGTCGTAGAAATCCATGATCGCCTACGTCCTGAAGGGACATGGCACATAGTTAAGTCCTCCTTAAAAAAATAAATTTCTCGTATTTTAACTATTTGGTGGGCACCACCATTTAAGGGCTACAAAAGAATTAAGTAGAAAGTCGTGTCTGTTGGATAAAAAGCATTTAGTATAGCGACAATCTTGATTTAGAAATACATCATAACGAAAATAATGCTGAAAATTTACTACCATACAAGGTAAAATGATTCGACCTTTGGGTCAAATTTGGATAAAATGATTATATTGCACCAATATTCCTAGTATAGAATCTGGAATCAAATCTAAAACATTGCAGCTGGCGGAAAATATCCAAATACTACAAGTGTATATAAATCTATTAGATTCATGCACACACAAATTTCCGTAAAAATTTCAGACTAATATTGTCAAGAAGGTTTTTTATGCTGAGTGTCTCTTCAGAAAATAGGCAATATGGCTTTCCATGACATTTTGTGTCTGTCAATAACTAAGCACAATCTGTCTATATTTCTGAGATGAGGTATTATGTACACAATTTACATTTTTCTCACTATTGTCCTCATCTTTGTTGCCATATTTATTACAATGTTTCGGCCTTTCAGTATCTGTCTATATTTCTGAGATGAGGTATTATGTACACTATTTACATTATTCGGACTATTGTACTAATGTGCCATGTGTCCTTGAGGACAATGACAGGGCCCAAAGAGTGTAAGGCAATGGAGAACTTTCAGAGGACAATTAACAAGAGATAACTGATAACTGACATCCATTAAAAACATGGCACGTGGAACTAGAACAGTCTACCCCAGTGAGTGAAATAAAGGGTTCAGTTCGACATTCCAACCACCTGAAGAAGGCAAGAGCGTACAACGGCCGAAACTTTGTAATAAATATGGCGACGAAGATGAGGACAATAGTCCGAATAATGTAAATTGTGAACTGAGCAGAACTAAATAAAAAAGACGATGTATCCCTAAATATAGACAACAGAATAGGAATAATCTCCCTCTGTAGATTAAATAAAGGGTTTAGTTTGAAATCTGTAGTTTGCCCGATCGACATACTACTGAAGAAGTCCCATGGATATAACGGCCGAAACGTAATGATAACATCAACAAAGATGAGGAAATTGATACCAACATAAATAATATAAATGATGATTACTCCTCATCACAAAATTCCTCTTATTGGTTCTTCGAAACAACGTTTGTCACTTTACGATCAGTCTTTGTCCCCCACCCAGTGTCCACCTTTTCCCCCACCCTGCCATTTATTCACCAAAATGATATAAACGTAGTTTTCCGAGCCGCCTTTCCTTGTAATGTGTCAAAGTAATTGAAACCCTCTCTTTCTGATTAAATATGGCCGTCTACTATTTAAAGAACTTTCTAGTTGCTTACATCTCTTCGTGATATTTTCAGCATCTGTCTGGAAAAACACATCTCTTTCATTTCGAATGTCTTCTTCACTGACAATGATATGGTAGCCTTGGGTGTGTCTTTGACATTTGACCAACAGTTTATCGCTTGCGAGTGCGTACGCTTTAGGAACTGATTGTAGAAAAGAAAGATTATTTTATTTAATCCTAAGCGCTATCGTGGCTGAATATAGAATGCAGATTCAGCAAGGTTTTGATATTTAATATGGAAAGTGTAACAGAAGTTAATAAATAAATCTCCGAGGTTTATGGCAAGGATGCAGTAAAAGTAATCACGCGTTGGGAACGAGCTGTGAAATTTAAAAACAGAATATTTTCAGTTTAAGAATAAACAAAACTGGCCGACATAAAGGTGGAATAACACTAGCACTCTGATCACGTATATATTGGCTGCTTATTTATTCATTTTGGCATTTATTTATGAAAAAGGATTTTTTAAAGAAATAATTTCGTAAAGTTAAATCCGATTTTAATGACACTTTAATTGTTTGAAATCTTAAAATACAATTTGAACACTTAATATTTAAATTTTTAATTACAAGCCCCCAGAGAAATCGCATTGATTTAAACTTTATTTGTAACCGGCTTTAAATTATGTCGTAAATCAGAAAATAAAACTAAGATATTGTTTTGTTTCGAACGTTCTTAATTATATTTTTCATAAAATATTCTGAAGAGTTTTGGTTTGTGAAAACAAATCGTTAATAATTTTTTAAACTATTTATTTTCGCTTATTTAATTACTTAATACATTTTTAATGATCTATTCTTTTGGACAATTTTGAATTGTTCTTCTTCAGTAACTGTTTCAGTAATTAAGAAATATAAATATTTACATTACTATTCCCATCATTATTATTATCACGTTTCGGCCTTCCTCATGTATATATCGATTTGTCTAATCTCGGGAGAATTCTGAATTGAACCCTTTATTTAATCTACGGGGTGTGATAAAAATGAGCACTGGTGAGCTCCTCATTTGCAATACTAACCCCACTCAGTGTAAAAGCTGTCTAATTACTAGTTTAGTTAAGGAGGATAAATCTTCTTAAGTTGATATTCCCAAGTAGGCATCTACGCGGACGAGACTACTATTTACTCCTGCCTCAAAAACAAATCTAGTGTCACTGACAAAACTAACCAGGCTGTTCGTCTCGAAAAGGACCTCCAATCGGTTGTGAACTGGGGCAGGAATTGGCTGGTCAACTTTAATGTCTCAAAAACCAAACTGCTCTCTATTAATCACCATGGAGAACCATCCCTTCCCCCACATTAGAATGTCTAACGCCCAACTTCTCGAGAGCACCTCTTTGCATCTACTCGGTCTCACATTGTCTGCTGACCTAAGATGGAACAAATACATTGAGTCAATAGCTTCATCCACCGCAAGGAAAGTTGGCTCCCTGTGCCGCGCCAGGAAAATTTTCTCTCCGGAGTCGATCCTTCAAATCTACAAATCATCCATTCGCCCTTGCATGGAATATTGCTGCCATATATGGTCTGGAGCCCCTTCTGTTTGTCTCAAGGTTCTTGATAAGATCCAGAGACGGATATGCAATGAAATTGGCCCTGATCTAGCACCTCGTCTGCAGTCGTTCTCTCACAGACGTGCCGTCGCCTCTCTCTGTCTTTTTACAAATACTTTCAAGATAATTGCTCCGAGTAGCTGCATTCGCTGGTTCCCAGACTTCATGAATTCAAGCGCCCTACGAGGCTGGCATCCCGCTCTCACCCTTTCACTGTTGAAACTGTTAAATGTAGCCGTCTCTTCTACTCCAACAGCTTCATATCTCACACCTCTCGCCTGTGGAACTCCCTCCCCTTTTCCTGTTTCCCTGATACCTATAATCTCCAACTTTTCAAATGTAATGTAAATCGACATCTTCAGTTGCCTTGATCTATCCACTATACTTCTCCTCATCCTTTCCTCTATCACTCCTATCTGCTCTCGCTCCAAATCCTATGAAGCCCCTTACGTGCCTGTGGCTTCCCGCTTTGTTTGGGGTGAAATGCTTAAAAAAAATCGACTTTGTCTATTCATTACAGGGGATAGACTTTTCTCATTCCACTGCTTAGATTTAGAGAATTCGCGCCCAGTTCTTAGTTTTATTTAGTACTGTTCAGTTGTTTGCCCGTTTAACAAGGAAAATTGAAGATGGCTTCGCTGCAACAATTAAAATAATCAATCAAATATAATTTTAAAATTTTATTTTGTATGGCGGGAAGGAGGAGTTATTCTGCGTTCTTACTCTCTTATTTTAATATTTAAATATTGAAACCATTAAATGTTGTGACTCTGAAAAGGAATGGAATGTACGAATATTTTTAAAAAAGGCAATAAAAACGACGTACTGATTGCTGTTCGGTTTGCTGTAAATCGCCGTTTTGTTTGGAAGAAATTTTGTTGTCTTCTTGCGTCTTTGCTTCCAAAAGAAAAGAAAGAAATTGAAAAGCATGGCTATTGCCGATAAAAACCGGTTTTATCAGTTTAATCCAAAAGGAAGAATATCTTAATTCAGTCTGGAATCTATAACAACACCTCAAAATCTAAAAAGAATCGACTAAGAACAGATTTCTCTCTATATTAGGATTCGGGAATATCGACAGCTGGCTTCCAAAATCTAAGTAAAGAAGCAGGAAAATTCCATCAAAAATAAAGAAAACTCTACCGAAATGTTCTGTAATATCAGATGAAGAATAAACTTGCGATAACAGAAATGTGGTTCTACAGAAGGATGCCGAGAATAGCATGGACTGAGTAACGAGGAAGGAAACAAAATGGAAACAAAAAGGTCACTTCTACTTAAAATCAGAAAGAATCAGCTGAAATTTCTTGAGTATATAATGAGGAAAGAAGTCTTGGAAAATTAAACACTCACAAAATATATTGAAAGCAAGTGGGACAGAGGAAATCAGCGAATAAACAACCTAACAAGATTATGTAAATGTTTGGGATAACAGAGACGTAGAGAGATGGCAGAAAGACAGGAACTTGTGGAGAACCATGATCGCCCACATCCTGAAATGGTATGGTATATGTTTATGACATACGGTGGCCGTTAATAATTAATTATAACTCAAGACTTCAATGTTAAAATAAAACAGTATTTAACTAGAACCGCAAATACTTAACAAGAAGAAAGAATTAAAAGTCAACCAAAGATAATTAACCATTTCAGTGAATACCTTGTTAGTAACGCTGCTCCGCTTAACGTCTGTTAAATACTAAATCAAAACCCAAATCATCGACGCGCAATAATTCACACTAATTCGACTGGATAGTTCCACTCAATAGTCACTTAATAATCACTGCAGTCAGTAGCTTGACATCGTTATTTATACACCAGGCGGAAAACATATATTTATAAGTCCAGAGTGTCAGGTTCGAACCTAGGTGTCGGTAGTTACTAATTTTCTTTCTATATGACACATATAGAAGGCTAAAAACACGTGCTATATTGAGAAATGTTGAAATCTATGATTCATATGCAACACTCTTTGCCATGTTTGATATGCTAGTAAAATCTACGGTTTCTCAGATCAATCGTCAAAATCCTATCGGTCTCTCCTTAGGCAGGCCATTTAATTTTTTTTATATCCGTTTCTGTATGAGCTTTATTTAAAATGGCCGGATTTCATTTCCGTTGACAATTTTCAGATTCTTGAGATAAAGGCGTAATATTTGTCAGTCAATTACAAAAATTTCATTGCAGCCGCTGATAAATAGAACTATTTATCTTGCTTACACTTGATTGATATTTTTTTACGGCTTATCAAACTTTTGCAGGTTATTTCAAGCCAGAAAATATATTTAGATTCTAAGAATTTTTACGATAATAATGATTTACTGGTACATGTGCAACTAATTAATCCATAGTTGGGGGAGAAGAGCTGAAGTCATAACTTTTGCACGTAAGTGAATATAAAGAAATCGATTGAAATTAGAACTCGGCTCTCCGATTTCAAATTCCCAGCTATTATTTATTACACAACCCGAACATTCAATTTTACAGCACTTAGTATTTCGAAGCGGTTACCCATCTAGGTACTGATCAGACTAGACGTTGCTTAATTTCGCTGATCGTATAAGAAGAACCGTTGTATCAACTTTATATGGCCGTGAGCCATCTTGACTACAAGAAATCACGAATAGCGTTCTCTAATATTTTTCAAATTTTCCTACTGTTTTTTTTTTTTTTGACAACATTTTTATTTGTTTACTTTGAATTGATTTTATACAAAGTCTAGTCGGAAAGTATGCAGCTTTTTTTGAAAATTCGGAGACCGAGTTGTGCTGTCTTTATTTAACTTGACAAAAACAATTCTTACAAGATCTTACTCTCCAATGGGCGTAGACAATTGACAATGAAACAAACTCGAATTAGTTTGAATAATGTTTGACTGTCACATTTACATTCACTGAGTAAATTGATGATTGAACCAGTATATTGCTTTTCTTGAATCTTGGAAATCTAAAAGAGAAACTAATTTAATGATCATGACCTTCGAAAGTGATCTAATGAGCAAAAACCCAGAAAGGATAGTGCTGTCGAATGAGAGAAGCCTTGAGAAGATAGACTGTTCGAATGAGCGAAGCCCAGAAATGGAGACTAATCGAATGAACAAAGGCCCAAAAGGATAGACCTATCGAACAAAGCCCAGATAGGATAGAGTAATCGAATGATTGAAGCCTAGAGTGATCGAATGATTGAAGCCCCGAGGAGTCATAGTGACCAAATGAACGAATCCTGGATAGGATAGATTTATCGAATGTTGAAAGCTAAGACAACATAGTGTGATCGAAGCCCCGAGGAGTCATAGTGATCAAATGAACGAAGCCTGGATAGGATAGATTTATCGAATGTCGGAAGCCAAGACAGTATAAATTGATCGAATGAGTAAAACCCAGAGAGGATTTTTTACATAGGAATGTATCCAGCCATATTGATTATCAAGGCTTCCGACTCTTCATATATCTTGTGGGGTTCATATAAAATATGGACTCAACCAGATCTGTCCCTCCCTTTTACACTCCAGATTTGGCTTTCGGTGTCTTCATTCTTTTTATAAAGCCACCGCAAGAAGAGACATTTAAGAGGACGATACCCTTGGGCGAGATTAACGAAAAAATTATCTGGGGGACTTAAGGTAAACGTAACGAGGTATCTGATGGCATCTGCGAAGTAAAATGGAGGTAGGGGTCGCTGAAATAATAGAGACAACTAAATCGTCAGTGTCCTAAGGAGTAATATGAAACCGCTGTATTCGTTTCGGGCAGACCGTACACATGTCAATATATATACACTACCTTCTACAGAAATATAGCTATCAAAGTTTACTCATCGCTACAATGATATGACAAAGATATGATAGTAAAAAAAGAAAGTCTATTTTGATGCAGTAATACAAATAGGCCAAACAAAATAATAACCATGAAAATAAACTCTCAAAAGACTTGGTATTTACGTTTTCCTCAGCACTAATAAAATTACATTGTCTCTAATGGAGACATATTTTATGAAAATACATTCACCTATCAGTTTGAGTAATGAGGCGAATTAACTTGTGGCTTTTTTTTCTAAAATTATTTGCACGTAAAACTGATGGCTTGTAATTGAGGCCCGACTGGATGTCAAATAAAATTAACTCATTTTTCAGCGCAAAAGAAATTCAACCTTTACTTAGATGAGAATAACAATCAGTGTCACTACTATGTGGCCCATGTTAGTTAAAGTGCGCGTCTTTCAGGTAAGGAGGCTCACAAGGGAAATAAATCAAGAGAAACCAATCAGAAACAGGGTGAGAGGTTCTAATTAAATAGATGAAAAAAATAAATAAATAAAAAATAGAAAATAACTGCTGATTCATTTGTTTATGTCGTAAATAATTCTTTACTTCCTGCCTCCTTGGGGGGATTTCGATGTTGGATATTTCCAGCGATCCCTAGCAGACGATATTCGAGCCTAAACGGCATCATTTCGAATGCCGATTTTCAAGGCAGGCAGGGAAACTCTGTTGACATGTTACAACACAAATATATACTCCATATGGAAAATAACACTCTTTGTCCAAATCGACATTATTCTCGATTCAATATCTGTCTATATCTCTGAGATGAGGTATTATGATTACTTGCATTATTTACATTATTCGTTCTGTTATCTTCATCTTCTTTGCCATATACAAAACGTTTCAGCTGTTGTACGCTCCGGCCTTCTTTAGGTGAAGGGAAATTCGAACCGAATCCCACCGGGTTAGATTGTTTTAGTTTCATGTGTCATTCTCTTTTTCTCTTTGACTCACCTCTCCAAGTTTTGTTTCACCACTGCTGTGTCCTGGTATTGAACTCACAAGTCTTTTGGTCTATTCACTATATCTAACCAACGTCTTTATCCACTGGGCCATGTGCTCTTGAGGTGAACCAAAACTTGGAGAATTCAGTTAAAGGGAGATAACTGAGACATCCGGAAGAGGCATGGCATGTGGATGAAATAAAGGGTTTGGTTCGATATTCCAATCACCTGAAGAAGGCCGGAGCGTACAAAGGCCAAAACATTGTAAATATGTCAATGAAGATGAGGATAACAGTCCTAATAATGCAAACTTCTCGATTCAATTTTAGATCATTATAATTTCTAATGTAATCAGCATCCAAACTATTTATGAATGTGTGGGCAACAATGTGATTTAAAATCGTACAGTATATGTTTTTTGGATGAGGTTTGGGAGTGATAAACACACTATAGGAAGTTAGTTCAGCTCAAAATCTTATTCAAGGTGTTTTAGAAAAAGAAACAGGAATGAAGTGACAAAACAATTGTCAAATCCAAACTACAAACTACAAGTTTTCCCCATCGAAATTATACGCCCCGATTCGAGTCTAACCCACTTTCCAATCGTTCTCCTTCACGCCTCCATACAATCCTGCATCGATTCTCCGCAGCTCCATCGTCGCGGTCCTCTTGATGGCTCCCACGTCCGGAAAAAAAAGGGAGTTCCCTTCATGAACATCACCGCGATGAACGACACAGAAATCAACGATCGTTTTCCCGCTGAAGATCAAATTTTCTTTCCTAGCATTTCTCGAATACGTAGACTACATTTGTTTTCAATATCGTTATTAGATGAAGCAGTGTTACCAATGTTTTCGGGTTTATCTCTTTCTTGTTGATTGCAGTTATCAGTCTATAGAACCCAACAATCAAAGCTGAAACACTTTTACTAGGAAAGTTTATTTTCGTATATCGCCAGCTCGACTGGGCAGACTACAAAATCTACACAAAAAGTAATGAGTCAAAGTGAAAAATAACATTTTACTTTTCATTTCTTCATATTTCCTCTTGACAATACTTGATTCTATAGTTTTGTGTTCATTGGTAGTTTTAGTAACCGTAGTATTAATACCATTTTGAATTTTTATTAAATGAAGCATTGTCAATGATTCTTATTTTTTAAA